TTTACTGCCATACCAAGGCAGTGCTGTTTCTATTAGCATGTGTTCTATCTTTGAACAAGATTTCTGTTCTGGGTTTGCTAGTTCATATCTTGCCTGTGCAGCTGCTGTAACTACACACCACAGTTAGTGCAGTTAGCATTCAGTAACTCCTCTTGCACCAGCTGTGTTAAAGAAAAGCTTGCCTGTTAATTATTATCTGTGTGGATCATGGGAAAGAAGCCAGTGTGCTGTGTATTAGCTATTCATATCCTAATCCAAAACCATTTGATTCCAATGCAAAATAGGTTGGCTCAGCTCGTTTGGCAAGTATTGGACAAATCAGCAGGGCTGATTTTGATATTTGACAGTTCAGAAATGTGATGAAGAAAAAAATACATACATACATGCATACATACATAGAATAGAATAGAATAGAATAGAATAGAATAGAATAGAATAGAACTGTATTGATCCCTTTGGTGGAAACCTCAGGGAAATTTCTGATTTGTATACATTATTCCAAACATTTACGAAGCAGGAAATTTTACAGTTAAAAAAATATGATTATCTGTGTTGTTTTTTGACAAAACATGCAAACTACAGTATGTATTTTGTACTGCCAGTCAATGTATGAATACAGTGATATCAGAAAACTGGCAATAGGCTATATAATGTAGGCTGATTGATTACTTGGGCCCTAGACCTCTTTTGAAACATAAGTTCAGAAAACAGTGGAAAAATGGTATCAACTGGTTTTATATGCACATCTCATCTTCAAAGCTGGGATGTTTTAGCCTCGTGTCAACATACTGCTATGTCCTGCTGTGTGAAGTTTGCTCTGCTATGCTCTCTCACGTACTTGTGGTTGCTTGGAGTGTTATTTACTGTTTTGGTGTTTCATAGCTACACAGTTCAAACCAACCAGTTTGTTGAGTGCAAACACTCTTCACATGTTTATGTTTGTGCACGTTTTGGCACAGCTTGGTTTAGATGTGCCAGACATAGCACTACAAGTGAGTGCTTTGCAGTTGAGTGCTCTGATTGTTTGAGTTTGTGTCTTTCTTTGTGCATTGATGCATTTTTTTTCTGTAGACATGAAAATGTTTTAGACAAGATCCAGGACTGTCCAGTCGTCTTTGTTTCATTCAGTCCTCAGCAATCTGTTGCTCTTCCACATTCTGTTGCAACAGGGAGAACTGTGCAAAAGTGTGTATGACAAAGGCGCAACAGCTTGAGGGTCATGACTGTGTATGTACCTGTGTGGCAGCAGCTAGCTTCTCTCCTTGACTAGCTAGAGCTGCCAGTGTAGCTGTAGCTGTGGTTCCAAGGTTGGATCCAAGGGTTAAAGCGTAGGCTTTTTTCTTTTCTTTTCTTTTCTTTAGACTTAAGAATTTCTTTGTAATAGGACAATGGTATAAAATTGTTAGCTGTACCTTGACATGTTTCGGCGTTCCATCTGTCGCCTTCTTCAGAAGTGTCATCTGATGTGTGTGACGTGTCATTATCAGCTGGTTTTCCTAGGTGTGGCCAATCTGACAGATCCAGTGGGTGTGTCAGTTTGGCCACACCTACCGCCGTGTGGTGGTCTCTGGAGCAGAGCGTCCCAGGTGTGGGATAGAAGGAACGCTCCATCATCTCTATTGTCATCCGTGTCGAGCTTTCGACATTGTTGCCAAGTTCCACATCGCTCTCGTGCTCCGCATCCGTGTCGGGCGTGGGCTTTGTTTAATCAGAGGCTTCTTGGCTGCTCGGTGGCTCAAGGCGCTCTCGCTCTCTAGAAACAGAA